AGTAAATACTCTTTAGGCATCAGGACTGAAAGTAAAATTAACCCTTTCCTTTTCATTCAAGAAAGTTTTTTTTAAAAACATGAGTCATATTTTGCCTCCAAAAAGAGAGAAACTTGAAAAGTTTTGATAGTTTGTTTTGCATAACTACTCAATTTCAGTTTCAATATAAATGCTTGTTTTAATTTCTTGTTCTTTCTTATATTTGATCAATAACCTTTTAATTTTAGAATGAGTACATCTGGATGTTCACCAAGAAATCAAGTAATCTAACATCTCAGTAGAAAAAATAAAATAAAGCCCAGACCTCTTCATATTACTGTTTTTATGTTGAACAGTGAAATAATTTATTACACTTTTAACTCATTGGACCCTTGACATTAATATAACAGCACTTAATGCTTATGTACTTTGCTGAAGCAGGATTATAATCTGCCCTACAATGGAAAGCAATGCCCTTTGAAAAGGTAAAGATCTTGTAACTGCTCTTTAAAATTTCTAAAATGTTGTTTAACACTCTCTTCCCCTCCTGTCTACGTTCTTGAGGTCAGATTTACCATCTGTTCACCAGATTTAAGTCTATCTGCTGGAAACATTTTTCACTGAGGATAGGATAGTTCTGGTTCCAACTTCAGTTTGAATCTGACTTGCAAAAGTGCCTGAAATTCACCAGCTATAAAGTTAAATCTGAAAACAACAACAGTTAAAGTTGAAATGCTCTGGAAACTGTACATCATTTGGTTATTCAATAGCATAATTACATTTATCCTTCTCTCTCCAACAGCTTTTTCCCTTAAGAAATCTCAAACCTCTATGCTTCTTAATGGCAAAATCTGTCAAAACTGACATATGAAGACTTGAACATTATTCTCTGTCAAAGATAGTTTATGAGAAGCTGGATCTCAGAAGTGCCTTTCTGAAGTTTCTAATAAATCAATATTGTTAAGTACCTTAATGTAGTTGTAAGTTTCTCTCTGAAAAGGAATATTGTTTCAATGGAAAATATTTATAAAGTAACTAAAAAAAGTAGGCCCAATTCTCAACTGCTCTGCACTTTGTGTTGCTGCTTATCCCAGGGCAAAGTGGGTACCCAAAACTGTCGTTCTGATCTGGTGCAGTGTTTTATACCCCTTTTGCACTCACTTTGAATGCAAATGAGTGGACAGTGGTGAACTGGACGGTAGGACAGCTGGAAAATTTAGAAATGAGGACATTAATTTAGGATGTTGGTACAACAAGAAAAAGAACTGACGATGTTATTTCATCAAATGAAATTTATGGTATACTTACAGTCTACAATAGCATTTCTCAAAAATGTCAAGGAGAGTGACCTTATTTGATCTCAAAAACTGAAGTCTGGTGCGGTTGCAAAACTCTTAGAATTGCAAATTTAATAAGAACACCAGAGCAATGAATAGGTTTCCAGGAACAAAAATTTAAATGTGGAAAGGAAGTTAAAGGCTAAGATGGCTTGACCAAATTGGGGAATGAGGAGCACCCTGTGGGGATCACAGAGTGGATACACAATCATCTGGAAAATGTGTGACTCATTTTTTGAAGGAGTAGGATCTGTCCATTGTCACACAAAAAACTCATGCTCGTGCCCTTTCTATTTCCCACCTTGATTACTGCAAACTCCTTCTTGCTGGCCTCGCTTGGCTATTTTCTGATACTTCTAGAGCTGTTCTTGTGTTTTCTTCACACAGACCCCCACGTACAGAGCTCCCTTCCTCTTCTCATTCATGTATCTCCTTAAGGCCTACTCTTGCCGCAATATTTATAAAATATTAGTTGACTAAGATTTCTATTTCCAGTAGGCATAATAATAATCTTCCTCCCTTAGTCCATCATGCTGAAGACTAGCTCTCACTGCATAGACTCATAATCTTATTTATAGTACTGCTGTCCTCTCTGCCTTGCTCCTTCCTGTCTGTTTGGTTACTCACTCAGTCATATCTAATGTGGGGCCTTGATCCTGGGAACTTGCCTCTGAGATTCAGAGCAGGTGGAAGTGTCCGCCTATGCAGATCAGCTTCCAGAACTGCATTCTTAAGGCCACAATAGAAGACATGATCACAGTGATAGTCAGTGGGATGATTCACAGATGTAAATTAAGCACATGTGTAGGTTTATTGCAGGATCAGGGCATTACTTTGCAAGCTCCTTGGGGCAGTAATCATGTCTTCTGTTTTTATTTTTTATTTTGGGGGGCATGGTGGGGAGTTCATAGCATGACTTTGGGCACCATTGGAAAAAAGAATAAGGAGAGAAAACATGTATGCGGAGGGAGAAAGAGTGGTTGGGTGTAAAGGGAACTAGGAATCAGGACACTCCAGATCTCTTCCCAGGTCTGTTAATCACTTGTTGTGAGATGTGGTCAACTGACCTCTCCTCAGTTTATCCATCTGGAAGATGAGTATAATACTAGCCTGCTTCATAAGAGGGGTGGAAGGTCTGAGAATTAATTGATGTTTGCAAAGTACTTTGAGATTTTTAGATGAAAGCACTTTGTAAGTGCAAAGATGATGATTGTTATTATTTAGCCCAGTCATTTCTTAATCAGCACTTCCTCCCACTGCAAAGCAAACAAGCAAAAATCAAAAATAACTCTCCCCCGCAAAAAAATCCAACCAAAACCAACCAACCAGATCAAAGCAGAACAAAATAAAAACACACAACAAAAAAAGGAAGATTACTTTTTCTTCAATGATTTAAAAGGTTGTTTGGGTTGCATGTTTCTTTTGTGTAAAGCAAGCTTAAGTTTATAGTAATGGACTATCAAATTATTCAACAATTCTATTACAGTAGTATCCTGATATTTCTGTTTTTCAAAGCACGTTGAGAGAGAAGCTTTTAAATAGTTACGGGTTTCTTCTAAATGATGTGTAACAAGTAATGCTGGAGTTTTTGTTGCAAATCATAACTCTGTATTTAAAAAACAATGGGACTTTTTACTATTCCCCGCTGCCCAAGGGAATAACCTAAAAAGATGTTCCCTTCCAACAAATTTCCCTCTGCAGATCTGGACAAAAGGACAATTGCCCTATATCAATAGCATGTCAATAGCAAAATGCTGTACACTATATGAGAAAACTAATCACATGTAAAATCTAAACGTTCTGTATGGCTCTCCTTGCTTTTATTAGTAGAACTGTGTAGCAGCTGAGTTCCCTCTGGCTTTATACTTGTTTCCTCAGCCTCTAGGGGAAGGTTAGAGAAATCCCAGTTGTTTCCTGTAACAGCGGGCTACAGAGCTTATCTGTTGATCAGGAGCTAGAATCCCGCTTAAGGGTGCAAAATTTTGATGACTTCTTGTGGCTAGTGCAGTTTGTTAACTTCACCAGGGTATAAAAGGTGGATTTGAGTCTCTGCCCAGAGGATACTATGCATAGAGACTGAGATGGCCTGAGGGAAGCCACAATTGGTGACAAAGCTTAGCACTTTCCCAAGAACCATCTAGTATGGCCCACTACTAGAAGAAGGTGACTAGATTTGATGAACCACTGCTCTGATCCAGTATGACAATTCCTATGTTCCTAAGATAAAAAGGCCAATACAATGTTCATACATCATACTGAATTTGCTAATCAGACTGAAATGTATTAAAAAATATCTGACACACGTATTATAGATGGAGGAACCTATTTAAACATTTTGTGAAGGCAACCTTAGTTTTAAAGCTTTAAAGAAATGATAGTTTTCTAGGAATGTGGAGAACAAATTCTCATTTCAACTATGTTGAACAGTAGTTTTGCTGATTGTGAGGTTCAGAAAATACATAGTGTATCTATCTAAGTTTATTTTAAAAGTTTGCATTTTTCCCTCATAAGGCAAAGGTGCTTAAAGGTCTTTTCATGTGTGGTGAGCTTGGGGTTACAAGTCAAAATTCATAGGGAAGACATCTGTTGGATTTAAGGGTGGTGTGACAGGTATGGGAATTTCCTGCAATATCATTGTGAGAGCTTACTATATTATGTTTATATATAATTGTGGGCCAGGTATTGTATGTAATTCCATTGGGGGGAGGAGGACCACAGTCCTGCAGGAACCAAAAATAGTGGGGATGATTAGTGAAATTCTCTCACATTGTAAAAACCTCCAGAGAGCTATCATTACCTGGAGAGACTTGAGGATACTGTTTCAAACTGGATTCTCTGGAGAAGCAGTAGACAAAGAAAAGACTTTTGAATAAATAGCCTGAGTTTAAACTGATTCATGGGGTGCTTGCTGATCGAGCCTACGGCCAGAGTTTTTCTTGGAAGTGTTGGAAGGACTTGACCTATGCCTGGGCATGCTTCTTCTGAGCTAACAACCCTTATGAACTTGTCACCAAAGAAACCCTCCCCCCCCCTTGGTGAGGTTTAAAAGACTGTTCATCTGCTGGAACCCTCGCTGGAGCGGGGTTGATCTCTGGTAAGCTTAATAGCATGTCTGTAGGTTCTTTTATAGTTTTAATATGTTTTCCCAGTAATGTTTTCACTTTAAGAATAAATGTGCTTGCCTAGACAGAGCTGTGTGGTGACATACCTGTGAGTAGTTGAGCTGTTCTTAGCCTCTGGGGACAAAGCAAAGCAGTTCTGCTTAGGCAGTCTGACTTGCTGGGGGAATTCACAGTGTATGCAGGGAACGGTGCAGCCTGGAAATTTGCTGGTCAGAAAGGAGAGAGACATGGGTCTCTTCCCAAGAGAGGTGATGGCTGAGGAGCTGGGACCCTAGAGTGGGTGCCCTTGCTGGACCACGGAGGGGGAATACAGTTGCCCTGAACGGTCACAGACGGATTTGGTGAGTGCTAGAATTGGAGACCTATAACACAGCACTTAAAAAAAATCAGTTGCCTGATTAAAAAATAAATTAAATAGTTGATAGAAACTTTGTGTACACTATAGGTCTACATTACCCGCCGGAGCGGCGGGTAGTGATCAATCTATCGGGGATAGATTTATCATGTCTAGTGCAGATGCAATAAATCGATCCCCGATCGCTCTGCCGTCGACTCCTGTACTCCACCATGGTGAGAGGCGGAAGCGGAGTCGACGGGGGAGCGGTGCCAGTTGACCCCGTGCTGTGAGGATGCAAGGTAAGTCGACCTAAGATCAGCTATGCTATTCTTGTAGCTGAAGCTGCATATCTTAGGTCGATCCCCCGCCAGTGTAGACCAGGGCTTAGTACATGAATTCAGAGCTGATGGGTTGCAGCCCACACCCATCGTGGTGTCCTTAATGAACAATGATTGTTGATGTTCTCCACTGTTCACTCTTCCATAGAGAGCACAATTAAGGTAATCCTGGGCTCTATACACAACATGACCCTGCCACCATGCCATGGCCTCACCACTGCGCAGTGATAGGGGTCCCCTTCCCACCCAGAGTGCCACCGTGGTTTCAAGTTGATCTCCTTCTTCCCCAGTGGCAAAGATGATAATACAGAGGGGGTAGGGCAGTAGTAGGAGGGCCCCCTTCTCTTCCCAGAGATCCAAGAGTGATCATTTTTCCATCAAGAGTGGCAGTAGATAGCCTCTCTCTCCACAGAGAGGCAGGGCAGCAGTCGGGGAGCCTCCCAATACTTAACCAGTTTTGGGCTCTATCTTTTTGGGTCGGTGTGCTCGGAATGTTACAATTGTCTCCTCCCATGACACACAAAATTATCTATTGGGGTGCTGCTAGTGGGGTCCCCAGAGCAGTAGGTCTTGAAGTAAACATCTCCATTGATCTGAGTGGGGCAATTCACACCTCCCAGAGTTATTGTTTCAGACTGTCTGCAAACTCAGGCAGATGTCTCCTCACCGGTTACATTTGAGTCATGTTTTCAAGCTATTCTTCACAACCATGAGGACTAAGAAACTTACTTTTTTTGTTTCTTGCTTTTAAAATGAAAGTAGATTTCTTCTATAATTACATGACTCTAGGAACCAGAGCTCTAGGGTTGGGCCTATAGTGCCTATATTGTAATCTGGCCTGGCTTCCATGACAATCTGTTTCCAACTGTTCTCTATCTAACAGACACACAAGAAGCTTGTGGGAGAAAAAAATGCCCACAAATAAAGGAAAAAATAAATGACTCAGCTGAAAAGCAAACAATTTGCTGAACTCTTGCACAGTTGTCAAGAGACAGCCACTCAACCTAAGGGGAGCCATTTAACTTGTCAGCTAACTATAAAAACCTCTTTACGTACTCTTGGGCCTTATAGTACAACTGTATGACCCAGGAAATCAAGTGGAACTTTATGTCTACACTGCAATCAAAGGTGTAATTGCAGCTCTGATAGGCACATCTGTACTAGCTTTAATTTAGCTAGCAGGGCTAACAATAGTAGTAGACTTCAGTGTGGGCTGTACAAACCTGCCCAAAACCCAAGGTATATACTTAATTTTACACAGAAATCACTGCCAGCCCCGGGGCATCTGGGGTCCCACTGTCAGCCTCCCCCGGCCCCGCCTTGCGGGGCTGACAGCTAGAGCCTGACTGCCCGGGCTGACAGCTAGAGCCTGACTGCCCAGGGCTGACAGCGGGAGTACAGCTGCCTAGGCTGATAGTCGGAGGTGGCTGCTCCCCTGCCAGCCTAGGAAGTGGGAGAGGTGATTCTACTGCAGCCCCTGCAAGCCTGGGGAGGGTGAAGCAGAGGTGAGGCTGGGAGGGCTGAACTATGGCCTGGGGGGCTGAAGTGAGGAGAGTAGGGGCTGATAGTGGCAAGGGGGCTATATTGATGGTGGGTTCTGAGAAGATGGGGGTGGTTGGATGGGGCAGGGGTCCGGGGAGGGTCAGGACAGAGAGGAGGGGTTGGATGGGGTGGCGGAGAGCAGTCAGGGGTGGGGGTTCTGGGGACAGTCCAGGAGCAGGGGGGGGTGGATGGGGCAGGGGTCCTGGGGCGGCAGTCAGGAATGAGAGGAGGGGTTGGATGGGGCAGCAGGGGGCAGTCAGGGGTGGGGGGGACCACTGGTGGTCAGGGGACAGAGAGTTGGGGGTTGGATAGGGCAGAAATCCTGGGGGGACATCAGGGAACGTGGGGGTTGGATGGGGCAGGAGTCCTGGTGGGGTTGTCAGGGGGCAAGAAGCAGGGGATGGTTGGATAGGGGGCAGGGGCCGGGCCACGCCTGGCTGTTTAGGGAGGCACAGCCTCCCCTAACTGGCCCTTCATACAATTTGTGAAACCTGATGCGGCCCTCAGGCCAAAAAGTTTGCCCAACCTTGGTCTAAGGTAAGGTAATATCACAAGGACCATATGGTATTCAATCTGATAACTCCATGGATAACTCATGGATGAGAGCTCCATGGTTTCAGCTCTATATTTAAACATGACAAAAAGACTTTAAACAGATGTCACAGTGTCTAGTCTTTTGACTGATGTGTCTCAGGATTCTCCATGGCCTATACTGAATGGGACAGTGAGCAACATGGTAGACAGCAGCAGCCTATAGTTGAAGTCTTGCACTTCATGGTTGTTTGAGAATTCAGACAGTAGATCGGCAGTGGTGACTCCAAATTTCTTCAGCTTTAAGAGTGATGACACTCTTTAAGAGAACTTTCCTACAACACTGGAAAGATCAAGATTTTCCCTGCTGTTGGAGGCAGGAGTTACCTACAGCACACCTGGGAAAAGCATGCTTAAACAACAACAAGCTGGATAAATTCTTCTTCTAGTAGTTTCTGCAATTTATAACTTAGGGATGCACTCCTTACCACAAGGCCCCTTCCCTGTCTTCTCAGGTCAGTCCCACTACTCCACCAGTTCAGAGTTCTGTTGCATCCACAACATGTCATTTGGAGGATTTTTGAGTTGAAAGCTTAAGAAAATGAAGCTCTCTATAGCCATACTTTCTCCTGTTCACCAATAGAGGATGGTAGAGTGCTCCTTCCCCTATGGGGCTTCTCTTTTTGTTCACCAACAAATGGTAATAGTGACCTTCCTACCCTCTAAAACAGCAGGTCACAGGGTTTATACACATCTAGATACCCCTACTTCTATTCATTTTTCTCTTTTCTTCCAGCCTCATTTTATTTCTCAATTTTTTCTTTTTATCGCTCCCTCTTTTACCTTGTTTCTCCTTCTGATCAGTCCTTGAGTATATCTCACCATATCGCAATGAAGAATACACAATCCCATCTGTACTTGGGTTCCTTTTCTAAATGAAGACTTTGTTGTTTGGGAGGTGGCAGGAATGACACTGACTTGCATCAAGAGTAAAAGAATTCCCTCTCCTTGCTGTACTATACGTATCATGCTCTGTGCAAGCTAGAGTCAGGGCCCATGTTCCCTGGAGGAACTGTTATTGATGGAGCACCAGTGAATGCGGGGAGTGAGGCTGGAAGCAGCTTAGTCACCTGGACAGAGCAGTGCACAGGGTTTAATAATGTCCCATTTGTTCAACTTAATCTGCGTTCAGCTTCACTCTTTGCGAATGAAACACTACTGGTGAATTAGGTATTCTCCTTCCAGAAGGTTTGTTAAGGAGTGAAGGAGGCAGCATCACATATTGGATTCCCCTTCCGTTAACCCCAGAGGAAAGGAGCCACTGAAACAGATTCAGACCAATCATTTTATCCAGAGGTTCGACAGCTTACAGCAATTATCAACTATCTTTGAAACCTCCTAGTATATAATCTAACCCCTTCTGAGGATAAAGGGGTAGAAAGCGGAGCTGGGCAAAGAACAGATGGGTGTTTTTTGTCGTTCGTTGAAAATTCTGAAAAATTGGGATCCTCAAAAGTATTGAAATCAGAGAGTTCCCAGGTAGGTTGAATAAAAAGACTCTAAATCAAAATGTTCAGGTTTACCACCTTCACCATACAGACAATAGCTAAGTGTCACACAGAATACTTGACATTTTCCCTTCATTTACTCACAGGCTAATTTTCCCATTGAAATCAATGAGAGTTACATGTCCATCTACTTTTGAGGATCAGGGCCTTGGTGTCTTAAGAGCCAAGCATACTTAGAAAGAGAAGTTGAGCTCGCCACGCAGGTCACAGAAGGAAAGTGTGGGAGTAAGTCATGGCCTACCATGTCCTCACTTCAGCCATCTAAAGAAAAGAGGGAGGGAATATTCCCATGTTTGATGGGGTAAAATGAAGCTGCCTGTGGGGATAGTGATGGAGGATGGCTGGGAAGAATATTCATGGGTTTTGTGTCTGTATGAACAACTGTAGTGCATATTCGAAAACTATTGAGTAAGCACGGGCCGAGGTTTGAGAATGTACTAAGCTGCAGTATCAAGGTTCAGATGGATAGGTTAGAGGGGAATATTTTCCTTAGCTATTGTTCAGACATTCGCAGTGCTTATAAAATAGAATTCCAGGGGAATATCTATATATCTGGTGGAAATGTGACAGATCACTCCTGCAGTTTACTGAATGTCACAGTGCAATGTTACAGTCATACACGACATGTTAAACTTGTGCTAGACCTTTCTGTGATTTCTGAGGATGATGTCCTGTTCATGAAGCACTGTTTAGTTGAAATGTTTATGACAATGGCAGAATGTGTCAGAGGTATGAGTTCTAACAGAGTTTTCTTACTGTAACTTTTTTCTACTGGTATTCAGTTTTTCTTTTCAAATGACTTGTACAGACTCTCCTCATACCTGCTTTATTATTCCCGTATACATTCTTAGCATAGTCTTGATTTGTAACTAAAAAGAACAATGAAAGGTTAATGTATAATATCCACACAACAGTGATGTTGTTCAAGTAATTGCAACCATTTTTTAGCCTCTAGTATTTCAGCAGCAACTTTTAGCCACTTTAGGTTATGCTTCACAGCTATCTATTATAGTAAGTGCTTCCTATTATTGAAGAGCATCATCATATTAAGTCCTAATTATTATTACTTTGAAACTCTGAAGTGTACAGAGAAGTGAAAGCAATCATAGCTATGTTTCTTTAAAAAGACAAGTTGCCAACCTTGTACATTTGAACCCCCCAAGTTATTAATAGTAAATTAAATAATATTACTGAAGAACTAGAGAAAAATATAAAGCTGTTTCAGGCTATTGGGAGTCTATTGTTTTACAAGCCTTTTTTTAACCCCATCTAAAAACTGGACACACATCCTTTTCCTGTTTATACAAGACTCTAAAATATCCTTGAAGAGAAGTGCCCCTTGAAGCTTATGTTAATCACTTTGGAGATCTATTATGTTGGCAAAAAGCTTGTAAGTTCTGTACATAATTATGGTAGCCTATACAACTATGTGATTGTGACATTATCCAGGGTACAATCTGGACTGATGGACAGCTGTATCCCCTCAATTCTCCAGTCTGGGGTGCCTTTTACCCTGCTTCGCTGTGAAAGCAACCATTTCTGGCCTGCTGACACACAGCCTCCAGCATGTAAATCACTCCCAGCTAAACTGTATAAGTGCTATAGCCAGCCACTCATAAATTACACTGCAGAGCAATACCAGCAAATGTCCAATCCCAGACTTTCCTCCAAAACTGTGCATCTTGTACTGCCCAATCCTCTTGGACAATACAAGCTCATATAAAACTCTGTCATTTATTGATAGAAAATAATATGCACAACTCTTGTTATCCCTAATGGAGTTTCCCAAACACTTCAATCCAAACACCTGGCTCAGATAAAACCATGAAACAAATGTATTAGCTACTGAAAGATAGATTTTAAGTGACTACAAGTAATGAGGACTAGAAGTCAGAATTGGTGACAAGGAAATGAAAGGTAAAACACAACTAACACCTAACTTAACAAGCTAAATGAATACAAAGCAAAGATCTCTCTCACCACATGTTCCAGCAGTCTTACTGGCTGAACTGCATTCAGTCAGGATCTCCTCCCTCCCAGGTCCAATGCTGCTTCCTTTGTTCTTCAGGTGTTGATGATGCTGTGGGTAGAGAGCAAGGGAGAGAGATTTGGGGCATCTGCCCTCTCTTCTTATAGTCCTTTGTTTTGCACAAGAATCATCTCCAGCTGATGTTCAGGAGACAGAAAGTCTGTGTGGTCAGGAACCTTAAACTGTTTCTTTGTCAAAATAAAGATCTTTTGCCCACATCCTCTCACCTGCTGAAGAGTGGCCACTTAATCAGTTCCCTTTGATCTCATTGACCCCTCTCTGAGGCATTGGCTAGCCTTTTGTCTCTGGGGAACTTGTTTGTGACTGGCCTCCAGAAAATGTTGAAACATGCCCCAGAAATATCACAGACTGGAATCTTATATCTTTACAAACAATGTTTCCACACATATTTTACCAGGACAATAACAATCAGCAAACCATGAGTTTTCAAATGATATCTTACACAGTTTGTACAAACTTTAACATAATCTTGTAAAACGGGTGAACATGGGGGTACAGACTGTCACTGTTGTTGCACTGTAACTCCCTTCATTTGTTTGTTACACCCATTGACTGTGTCTTGTCTTAACTTAGAGAGCAAACTCTTTGAGGCTGGAATGGTCTCTCACAAGGTGTTTGTACAGTGCCTATTCCCCTGAAACCCTGTTGGAACTCTCTCCATTGATGGGTAGATCTGGCTCTTCATATTATTCATCCAAGTCTCTAAAACTTCGCCTTGACCCTTTCTCTTCTTCCCGTTTTTCCTCCACCAATTTCCCCCCAAGATCTTGGAAGGTATATTGGATTTTGGTACTTTAACTTTCATAGGGGTGATTTTCATACAAGGCTAATCTGGCATGGTCACTTTATGCTCATCTCATATTTCCATTATACACAGGGCAACACAATTTGATAGAAATTCTGCAAATAAAGAAATAAAAATCAACAAAATATAATCATTCTGCAATATATGCAAAATATTTTATTGATTTTGGCTGCTTCTTTCACTCCAACCATTAGAACTGTTTAAGGACATTTCAACAGCACAAGCTGAAATTTTGACCTGTAGCATGGCTCATCAAGAATTACAGTCTGTAAAGTATTGGAAATACAAACTGATAGCTGTCTTTTTTTAAGCCTTTCCTTCTAGTTACAAGCTGTACCCTACAATTTCTTCCTTCTGAAAAAGACTGTTCTCTGCTACCTCTGAGACTGATTTACAACACTTCTGTTGCAAACTCTAGCAATCTCTTCTAAATATCATATTTCAACAGCCTTTAATGTGCAGAAATTTTGCTTACATTGTTCAGTCCATCATCCCCAGTTCCTGAACTAATTAAATCCTTACAGAGTTTATTGGAACCAATTTGTGCCCTTTATTTTCAGGGTCATTTATACTTCTGTGAGTCTCCTATTGATTGATTTTCTTCCTAACTGACATATAGGCCACTTTAGTATTAAAGGTGCTATATGAAAGTAAAATTCAGCGTTGTGTGTGTGTGTGAATAGAGGTGTTTTGCAATAAAGAGAAGCAGCTTCTTCTCCAGGAATACTTTCCTTAGTTATTGTCTGGTCCTCACTAATCCATCCTGTTGCCAGTTTGCCTTCTCATAGAAACTCTTCCCAGCATCTTTTTTTTTGGGGGGGGGGGGAAGTGGGGGTGCTTGGACATCTAACTGTCACAGAGACCAACACCTGGAGTTCTAAAGTGGCCATTTTGCTGATGCCTTCCAGCAGGCAGGTATTACCTCCTGTTTTTCCTTTCTTATTTCTGAGAAACTTGCACATTCACTACTATAACTATACTATAGTGACACTATGCTGTTATTGAATGGAGAGCTGCAGTTATTTGATCAAGTGCCATATACTCTTCTTGAAATACAATATGGGCCTGATTTTCCTCTCAAGCAGGGGTAAATCAGAAGTAATACCATTGAAGCCAATGGAGCTATCATGGTGTATACTTGATGTAAGAAAGAACAGAGCCCTGATAAGAGTCTTCAAATCTGTTAAGGGCTATTATAAAGACAACAGCAACAAATTGTTCTCTATGCCCACTGAAGGTATGATAAGAAGTAATGGGCTTAATCAGCAGCAACAGAGATTGAGGTTAGATATTAAGAAAAACTTTCTAACTTTAAGACTAGGTAAGCTCTGGAATTGGCTTTCAAGAGAGGTTATAGAATCTCTACCATTGGAGGTTTAAAAAACAGGTTGGACAAACACCTGTCAGGGCTGGTCTAGGTTTACTTTGTTCTACCACTGTGCAGAGGGCTGGACTTGATGACTTCTTGATGTCCCTTGCAGCCCTACATTTCTATGATTCTATTATCTGAATTAGAGCTGTGTGAATAACTGATTTTTTGGTTCATTGGCAATTCTGAAGTATTAAAGACAAAGATTGTCAAACTGGCAAATTCATTAACAGTTTTGGGCTGACCCAGAACTGCATTTTTTGGTGAATAAATAGTTGTCCATTACCTTTTATTCAGCTGCGATCTGAATTCTATCTTCTTCCTCCCTTCCACTCAGCGAGAATGTCCTAGCGGAGTGACCTACACCAAATATAGGATGACTGTAATGTTGGATCTATCCTCCGGCGTATTTTTCACCAGGGATAGTTTTTGCTCTTGATGTGCAGTGGTGCAGGATGTGCTTTGGGTTTCCTCAGTCTCCTACAGCCTGGGTGAGTACCCTAACCAGTAGGCTACTGGTATAAAACCACTATCACTTTTCATGAGGTGCCTTCCTCTGTAGCTGTGTTAGGTACCTAACTGCCTGAGAAGGGCAGGGCATAGGCTTCACCCCATTCTACTGACTAAGTGCGTCAGCTCCCCATTCATCTTGGCTTCTGAAAATCCCATTCTTTGGTGCCCAACTCTCCCCACACATTATACAGGGAGTTTGGGTGCCTAACTCAGGACTGTGAATTCCACTAGGCGTCAGGGCACCTAAAAGACATTGCAACGCTTAAGCCCCTTTGTGGATCTCGTCCTTGGAATGCAAGTTTCCATCCCTTATATAAGTGAATACGTGCTAATGAATTCAGTGGGCTTACTCACTTGAGGAAAGGCTGCAGGATCATGTTCACAGCCCTTAAGCTGCAGTATTGTTCACACGTTTCTCTGGATGTTTTTGGGTGAAAATGTAACACTACAATGAGTCCGTTCCATAACAACAATAAAAACACAACACAATGTGGACTATGTTATAGGAACTACCTTAGCAGATGAGACTAGTGGTCCATCTAGTCCAGTATCCTGTCTGTGATAGTGGCCAGCAGCAGATGATTTAGAGGATATTCCTTCCTCCTTCTACCCTCAAAAAATAAATAACCTTCCCAGTCATGGCACTGTACATAGATACTTCAATAAACTATTTTTACTGTTAATCCCAAATTAGAATGCTAAAGGAAAGAACACTGCTGGATGTACTTAAGATTTCTGTCTGTTTCCCTTGATGAGAGTACAGATAGATGAAGTGGCGAACATCTGCATAGTACCCATACTTTGAAACACCTTGCCTTACTTTGTTACAATATCAACTATATTCAAACATGGAGTTATTTGGTACTTAGTAACTAACATAGAAGTTATCTAATATTTATATGAATAAAAATAAAAAAACAGAAGATGTTAAATCAGCATCAACAACCCACTAAACAAAGCTAATTAGCTAAAACACTTTTAATGAAGCTTTGATTGAAAACCAACATTAATACAAAGTTAATGCTTAATGTGCTCATGTGGCAATTAGGTTTAGTTAATTGAAACTATTTTGAGGGGAGCTTACCATTTTGGGATGCACTTTTGACCTCTTTAAATCATGCATCATAATTTGCTGCTATAGTACTGTCAATTTTTTTACTATTGCTAAATTACGGTTCCTTTCAATCTTGAATAATTTGTATTGAAGAAGTGGAATTGCACAATGGATGGCAGAACTGTGCCTTTTTCAATGAATGGAGAGTGACAAATTCTGCTACCCTTGCTCATCTTGAACAGTAGTTTACACCTCCAGTTCTGATTTCAGTGGGACAACTCAAGGAGAAAGTCCTACTCAGTGTGAATAAGGGTGGCAGAATCAGGTCCTATATGATCAAAACAAAGACTGAGGCTGAGAAACTTCTAAATGCAATTGCATATTTTGAATCACAGAAATGTGGAAATGGAAGACCTAATAGGTCATACAGGTCGTTCCCCTACAAATGCTGTATTGTTCTCTGTTATGTCTTCTGTGTCTTTTTTGAGGAATGACAAATCCTGAATTGTAAAATGGGAAGGAGATTAATACCTACGAATGAGGAAAAAGACTGGGCATCCTTAACTATAGTCAATTTCAGGCACAGTCATGCACAGTTTCATGTACAGTTTCACTGGAAAACAAAATTCAAGGAACAAGAAATGTCCTAAATAAAATGGCTGAGTGCAGGACTTGACACAAAATTTGCTAAAGAATGACAAGCTGTTGGGGGCAATTTAAATACAGAGAAAAAATGGGGAGTAAATAAATAAGACAATAATGAAGATGAAAACAAAGAAAATAAGAGACAAACAGTACAGAATAAAGGGTAGAAACAGGGTTCAAACCTGCAAGGACTGAAGCTGTGGTAAAATTCCCTTTGATTTTAATGGGAGCTGGGCCTGGCCCACAAAGAAATACGTGTGAAAGACACTGGACGATAGGGGCAGTCAGGTCAAAATAAATAATATCAAAGGCAGAAGAGAAAATTGAAGGAAGCAAAACTCAACCAGACCAAAAAAAAAAACAAAAAACAAAACAACCCAGATCAGACAACATATGTGATAGCATCAATTTTCTGTTTAAAGCTGTTCCTAAGTGATGATGTGCATTTTAAAACATACGGGGAAACTTATTATGAATTGTATGAAGGAGCTGACATTATTCAAGCCAAATGACCTTATAGTTCACAACTAATCTAAATTACTTTTAAGGACCTCATAGTTCACAATTAATCTAAATTACTTTTAAACAATTATACAACTTTCTCTTCCACTACAAAAAAAATCAGAATATTACATTTTGATCAAAGGCTTTTATGATCAGAGTTTGTGGAGAGAGTAGATATGAAATGTGCAAGTAGCTAAATTCAGGTCTGAAGTTAAACCTTGAATTTCATCCAAAGATTGAAATTTAAACAGTAATTGAAGCAAACAGGCCTTCCCCTTAATGCCTTGTTCACACTTAAAACATATATAATCCTGGTTGCCATTTTCTTTTAGCAGCAAAACTGAAGCTAATATTTAGAAAGCTGACCTTTTGTTTTACTGTTTCTTTCAGCCAATTGATTTCATGACCTTTTCATTCCTCACAGAAAGAAAAAGAAAAAAAGAAGCTACTGGAAATTCTTGAAGAATTGTTTGTTGGTAGTAGATGAGTATTAGGAAAACCACTGGAATAAAAATAGTTTAGTTTGTAATATTTCTAATAATTAAACAGTGCAGCATTGAAGTGGGTGGGAGATATAAATTATTTACTGAATAATATAACTTTGCAGTTAAGATTAATTGAGAACACATTTTATGTAGTTTTTAGTATAAGCACTCCACACTGATATACATCAGAAAATGAATGTCAGATCTTTGATGTTTTGTTATAATGTCCCATACATACACAGTATGAACAGTCTATGGACTTTAGCATTGCATGTTAGCTCATTAAATGCAATCATTATGCACTTTCCTCATTGGGCATCAAATCCTTTAGCTGTAATTAAAGCATGATCTGTACAGAAAAGGGTTGTGAATATTTGATTTGAATGTGATGCAGCATAGCAATGCCCAAGTCAGGAGGAATCTTTAACTAAAAGAGGAATATATATTGCATTATTCTATGACTCATCTCTGCACCAAGAACTATCTATGGAGTTTGGTAATCTACACAGATTCTTCATCATCACTGAATTAACTAGTTATTTATGGCCGATGGAGTTTCCTGTGACTGTGGGGCCGTTTTCCGATCCTCGGTCCATTCACGTATCCGGGAGGAGTTCCTCTGGGTGGTGTCCACCGACTCCCTTGATGCTTTTGAGGAGCGGTGGGTGCTGTCCGAGGTTCTCTGCTCGGTGTCCCTCTCCGGTTCCCTTTGTTTGACCCTTTGATTGGGAGAGAGAGAAAGGGACCCCAGCCCCAGCCTTTGCTGCTACGGACACCACCACCTTAGAGGGGTCCTTTCACATGTGGGTGCACATGCTCCCCCCCCTGGGGTTGTCCACCCCACAGCCTGCCCCTCTTGTTGGGTGCTTTCAGAGGAGAGAATTGTTGGTGACACTGGGCATGGCGCCAGGTAACTCGAGGGGGTGGCAGACCTTGAGAGTTGATGAAGCCCCCTCGCTCTGGGCCGCCAGGTAACTCGGAGGGGTGGAAGACCATGAGAGTTGAGGAAGCCCCCCGCTCTGGGCCCGGGCAAGCTTGAACACTTCCCTCCCCTGAAGCTAATGAGAAAACAATTGTGATTGGCTGCTGTGTTATACATTGCATATGCTGTTTTTACTTTGTAAGTGTGTTATGCAAATAAAAACATCCTTTTTGCTTCCAAAAAAAAAAATTACTCTCCTATAGCCATCTGGCCCAACCCTGTCACATCCTGTATCTGGTCTTTCCCCCACATTGTCATGTTCTTCATGTCATGAATTCTTACTGAAATAAAATGCTTTGATTTGAGATTATGGTAATTGATCTTGTCACTTTACCAAGTTTGTAAAATATAAATAAAGGAAAAAACTCATCTATACATTTCAGCATAATAGATTTGGAAAGATTCTGTATTACTGATTAAAATTTCATTGCCTGAAATTCTGCTTCGTGTGGTGTATTTTAAGTAGTTTTAAATAGTGAAACTCATTAAAAAATGTTGCATCTCGTCCAAGTTGATGTTAATAAAATTCTTACGATTTATATTTTTAGTTAAAGATAGGAGGAGTACTCCAAGTCTGCCAACAAAGACAAATGTAAAACTGCAAAATTTTGCAAGAGCAATCTTTTAGTCCAATAATGTACAAAACCTGGTTGATACTTAGTCACAAGTATTGAATGGTACCTTATTGTTATTAATAATTATTATAATGATTTATATTATTGCAGTGCCTAGGAGCCCCAGTCATGGAGCAGAAGCCCACTGTGTTAGGTGCTGCACAAACACAGAACACACAGATAGTCCCTGCCCCAAAGAGCTTACAGTCTAAGGACATGACAAGAGACAATAGATGGATAAAAACAGACCCATAGAGGAGTACAAATCATGGATGCCTAGCGGCTGATCCAATGCCCATCTGTGGAAATATCTGGATGAGGTTGCTCGTTCCATGTTGCACACCAGAGTTTGAGTGTCATGATATGGGTTGTTGACTTGTTATATTGTCCACTTTTTTATACTACTCATCAATGGCAAATTTCTTACAATGCTCTGTTTTAAAACTACAACTAATACATGTATTAATTCTTTGCAGAGATGTAATAGGACTGTGAATGTGGGAGGAAATGTATTATAAATGGTTTATGATTTCTTCTGTCTTCACTGAGTGAAGCTGAGCCACAATATGGCGTCAATTTTCCTTAAATAAAGATGGAATTTTAATGGTGTCTTAATAAATGAAGGCAGCAATAGTCATGGCTAGTGTGAATCCAATAGTAAGAAGGAAAATTAGAATTTGAAAGGCAGCTCAATACAATATCGCATGCTTATGTACACTGCTGTTCCTTCCATTGGAAATGAAGGTCACCATCTCATAAGCAGTTTGGTAATTGTCTAAAGAACTGCGAAGTAAAGTTGAGTGATTCTGCCCCTAGTCTCTAATGGTGAATGACATACTTCCTCCTCCCAGGAGGAGGAATGGAACAGATTACATAAATTTACTTTGATGCATGACTTTCTAGGTGTAACTTAAAACATTGCGCCTATTTTTTTCTTTAGACAGGAATTGAGGCAGTAGCACCAGGGGAGCCAAATGTAACCATGCTTGAAGGACTCTCCTGGAACTGTTGACTCTCTGTGCTAGGAAGTACCAGTTTCTCCCCCCATTTCAAACCACCTAAGACCTCTCTATTTCCGGCCACCCCCACTGGTTCCCTGCCCCATCCTCGCTCACCTCTACCCCCCCCACTTCCCTTCACCTCTACATAAGCCATCAAGCTTTTAACTCAGATCCTGTCAAGTGGGAAGGAAAGGAAATGTTCCAATTCTCTGGAATACTGCATTGAGGTTGTGTTGCAGCAGATGGTTAGAGTAGCTATTTAATTGGTGAGTCAATGAGCATTGTTTGAATTAGTGTGTTGTCATTCTGGGAAGTGATTGTCTGTAATGTTTCTAGTAGTATCATGTAGAGGATGAGATGAAGGGAGCATGGCATTGTGTTTTGTTTTTTACAATAGTAGCTTTCTATGGTCAGAGTTAAATTGGCACATTCTTTGGGGAAATGGAGGAGGAGGAATATGCATTGTGGGTAGTAGATGTGCATGAGGTAACCTGCAGAAGGTAAAAACCTCAATAGCCTGTGGCCAAGGTACCTAAAAGAGTACCTAAAGCTCCCGGATGAGGACCATGATTGACAATGCTGCTACTTTGTACAATGGAATTCTCTACCATAGGAGTAAACCTCATCTGTGATGGTGACAGAGCTTTCCGAGGGGCTGGTCCAAGATAAAGGAAATGAACCCCCAACAATATCTAAGAACCACTAAAATCTCACCACATTTCACTCCACCCCTTTGAGTTTGGCTTTGCACATATACAATAAAAAATGAGGGTACATATATTTGATTTGTTTTAAAAACCCACGAAATTTCACTCTTAGGAGAGCAAGGAAGTAAGCAAGCTACACATGACATATACTAGTCTTATTACCGAATGCATTTCTGAAAGGTTCTCAGTTCACCATCACCATGGTGATGAGGGCAGTATAGGAACTCAACTAGAATAGAATAGAAATCTTAGTTGTAGGTTGCTAGGGATGGCTTAGAATTAACAAATGATTTACTGGCTTTGTGTGTGTGTGTGTGTGTGTGTGTGTGTGTTGATGGTTGATGCATTTAAGCAATTCTGGTTTTTAGCACAATTTTGTTTGGGGAAATTTCCCAGAATTTTTAAGAAGTTGGGATTAATACTAAAAGTTATTCACCTGGGTAGCTATTCAAATTTATATGTATTCTCCTCCCTCCACCAACAGCACAGCCCTGCTCCCCTAGAAGTGCTCACCCACCGCTGCATTTCTTTGTGACATGGTGGAATGTTTCAATCGAGGTGATTAAATCATTGATTTAAATCAGGTTAAGGCTTTGTAAAGCTAATTTGAAAATTTGTGCTATTGCAGCTTTAGGTGAAGCGAACTACATTATAAATGATTTTTTAAAATGCTGTTACTGGTAGGAAAATGTTTTTGAATTTTACAGCAAAGCTGTCGACCAAAAATAAAATACTGAAAAATTAAGGCTCTGATGTCATAAACACTTAGGCGGGTACAGAAATGTACTCATTTCAGTGGTGCTACAGTACTTGTGCTTAAAGTTAAGGAAGTGCATACGTCCTGGTAGCATCCGGGACTTAAACTGTATTTTTTATTAAAAGCTTCAGCGGCTTAAACATTTTGTCTCTTCAGAAGAAAATTGCTTCCGTTTGACCAATTAAAAGTTATTAGACTTTCAATACAGTAGCAACACTATTGTGAACTTTTTTTATACACACAGATAAACATGTTCAAAAATAGGGTGAAGTCCTTCATCCACTGAAGTCAATGCAAGTTTTGCTGGTGACTTTAATGAAGGGAGGATTTCTCCCCGGAACCTAAGTCTTTGTAAGGGTACCTAAGAGTGGGACTTTCAAAAGCATGTAAGTGATTTAGGAGCATAACCCCATTGATCTCAGACTGCAAACCCTGATGGAGGGCTATAGCCTGGTAGACGCATTCCAGCTTTCTTGACTTGGAGAAGGTCAGTATATGGGTGGAAGGTGGCGTTTCAAGCAAATACATCATGGACTGTTTGTGTTCTTGGGATTTGTTGGTCTCACAGTAAGGTTGTCACTGAAGTCATGGGCTTGTCTTGTTCAGTATAGATGAGCATTCTTAGTGTAGAAAAAAATCTCTATGTAAAATCTGAAATTAAGAAACAAGTACAAAATATACACCAGAAAATAAGACAATAAAATAGGAAGAAAGTAAAAAATCAGCAACATGTAAATAAGAGATAACCCTAAGAGATTTTTGAAAAATGATTTAAATTAAAAGTATTTAAATCAAAATAATTTTAATTAAAAAATTGATATTTATCCACCCTGCTTCTCCATGCAGAGCCCCATTTCACTTGCAGACCCCTGTGCACAGCCTGGATTGGCCCCTTTATTCCTCTCACACTCACACATATGCTCCTCTTACTCCCATATTGCCAGTCTTCATCTGTCTTATAGGTTGCCGCCACCTGCCATCACTATTATTATATACTTACGATGGCATAGGTTCTGGAAATAGGGCTGGTGTGGGCGTTGCTGCACCCCCTAGCTTGAAATAGTTTCCATCAAATACAGCATTTACAGTTTGGTTCAATGGCTCTCAGCACCCCCACTATACACATTGTTCCAGCACCTCAGTATGATGGGATCGTTTTTTCCAGAAATCCATGTAATTTTAATCTAAAACTAAATCTTGCTTAATTCTTACACAGCAGCTTACATCAGTAGTCCATACTCAACAGAATAGTCCCATTGAAGTCAGTTATTTTCATGAGTATTGTAAGAGGATCAAGTCAACAGTCAAAATACTTTGACCCTGCTCTATCCATCTTGCCTCTGTGTCAGTAACCTTGGATCCACCTGTGTCCAAGTTTATCAGTAAGTAACACCTGGCTCCTACCGAATGTAGGCTGAACTCTACTCATAACTAATGCCTGTTTTATCAGTCAGTTCCTTCCTTTTCCTCCTTACCGTAATTTTTTGTACAACCGTTTTATCACACGCTATTCCGTACTCCTCTGCCATTGACCATCTAGTTTCCCTCTTACTGTAGCTCATAAAAATAAATGTTCTTTTCTTCATCTTCCTACAAAGGTGATAAAAATAGCAGATGTATTTTGCAAATATAGAAATGATGCCCATTTGTAAGATTTTCATGTTGATTATAAATCTTAATCAATCTATTCATATTAGTAGGAAACAACAGGGACATGAAGGCTTTTAGCACTCTTGATAGTCAATCAATACATCTTCCTTGAGACTTTGCAGTGTATCCTGTCTTCTAGGTTTCTTCAGTTTGATTCTTGTACAGGAGGGATAATGTATGTTGTGGGCACTTAACAAATTATAATACTTAGCACTTCTATCCATAAATTTCAAACGAAGGAAAGTATCATTATCCTTGTCTTACAGTAGGGAAACTGCGGAGCAGAAAAGAGGAGTGACTCCCCTGAGGTAAAGCAGGAGCTTGCTGACAGAGTTGGAATTAGAACTCGGATAGCTTGACTCCCAGGCCAGTGCCCTATGCTCCAGGCAATGCTGCCTCCCATTACTATTTTATGATGAAATAATAATCCGTGAGCGGTTTTGTGCTCATTAATGCTAATTTCTTCTACTACAATGAAAAGTCGTTCAGGGAGAATGAAAACTAGGAAAGCAAGGAAGGGAGAGCACATTGTGGAAAAGAAGACAAAGATTATGTATAGGTACTAATATAATATGTTACATCTATCATAAGAAGCTATCATTTTTACCATCTTATTTCTATCGTATTTCAGAAGAGTTCTTGAACAAAGAGCTTTTAGTTATATGAATGGAG